CACACACACACACACACACACACACACACACACACACACACAAACGAACACACACACACATAATATATATTATTTGTCTTTCTCTCTATATGTTGTGTCATACACAGCCGTGGTTAGGTTAGCCCCGACGATCAGAGTCGAAAGTAACACATTTTCTGAAGTCTAACTGTTGAAGGAAACGGAACACATCTAAAACTATTCTGGGGCACTAGATATAATACACTCTCTTCGAGAACTGTTTTCCTCGTTTACTGAAAATAAATTCTATACACAATCCATGTCTAGTTTGTGAGTGTACTAATCCCTGAAAAAAAAATCAAACTTTAAAGGCCTAGTCAGGTTAAGAAACCTGGAAGATGCCCTTTGTCGTGGGATGTCGAAAGACAAAGTTTCACATTAATTTATTATTTTTGCATCACCCATGCGCGGACAAGGAGCTCACATCCGTTACCATCATTAGAGGATTCAGCTGATAAGTTGGTGGTGTGGAACTCATAAACGTATACATAATCTACCTGGCATAGTTATATGATATTAACTTTTTTTTCCTTTTCTTTTCTTTTTTTCTGTTCTGTTCTGTTCTGTTCTGGGTTTTTTCTTTTGTTTTCTTTTCTCAAACCGTCATGCCGGGCACAGTTGAAGGTATACTGACAACATCAAAGCCAGACAGAGGAACATAGAGGAAACATCTTGTCATTTTCTACCCTCAACACCCCCGGACGACGCAGCTCACGGAATGGAAGATGATGACGATGATGATGATTCTATTAAATCAAACCTGTTTTCTTCTCGTTTAGCCCAAAATAAATTCCTTTCAAACCCAACAGGGAACGGCCCTCCAGCGGAAGGACCTACCGGTCTATTAAAGATCGCTAAATCCTTATCGTATTTAGACTGAAAGAAAACAAACAAGCAAAAACAAAAACAGAACATTGTTAAGTGATGGAGATATGACGGGGAAAGGGGGGGGTGTCTCTCCTGGCCTGGGGTAGAGATTAAAGTGTTCACCTCTCATTAAAAGGTCCCGAGTCTGAATCTGGGTTGCGACAGAAGCATTTTCTTCTCTAAAATTGTCTCCTTTCACCTCATTTCCTTATTCTCTCTTGCAATGCACTGTCGTCTCCTTTCGTCTCCAGTTTTTGCCCCCACCCCGTCACCTCCTTTGCCCCCTCCTCTGGGCTTCTGACTCTTTCTGCAGCCTTTCTACTGCTACTCCTTGGCTCCTTCTTACTGCTGTCTTTCAGCCACACCCCTGATATTCTGGTAGGAAATTTCTACACCTAGCCTTCTCGGAAAAGGGCGAAAAATCTCGGAGGTCCCGTGTGCAAGTTGCCCACGTTAAAGATTAAAGATCTCTTGGTGGTCTAAAATGATAAGAATATGCCTCGGCCGTCAACCGGAGAAAATTCAAAATATCATCCCAACTGAAAATGTTTAGTTTGTCCCTCGCGCTCATATGACCTTATGCAGTTGCGAACTTACAAAAACAAAACGACAATTTTTAAAAGGAGATATGGGGGTGGTCTGAAGGGGAGGGGGGCGGGGTGGGCAATATAGCAAACACAGTCTGAGCTAGAAAATGTCGAACAATGTTGTTGGCCCCTGACATGAAGGTAGCCACAAATAATGCAAATGTCATGAAATAATTGCAGTCTATCGGAGCGTGCACTTTTGATGCTGTGATTCAATACCGGAGACATTCACAGATCCAGGCACACCCCTGAACACACCCCCGCATATAAACACGCACATGCACATTCATGAACACACAAACAAAGTGTGAGTGTGTGTGTGTGTGTGTGTGTGTGTGTGTGTGTGAGAGA